CAATACATGTTCCAGAAAAGCATGTTTACCAGCATCAGAAAAAACAATGCATAAAACGTGTATTTTAACGCCAAAAATTGATAACTTTGGTATTAATCGAAAGCTTGAAGGGCGATCTTTAGGAATTTATTAAAATCCAACGTCTCCTAGCAACGAGACACACCGGAAGACAGCGCCAAAAACTATTTCCCAGCCTCATTACAGCCGATCTCTCAACTAAATATGGCGTCATGGAAATTTTTGCCACACTTCCTTGGCCGGAAACACCAACAAAAATTCCCAGCGTGTACTCAATAGTACCACAACACATGGATCCACTAGACCAGTTCACATCAAGTAGACAAGTAGTGAGGAGCATACTGGTGAATGAGTTGAGGAAACTAGGTGGGATAAAATACACTGAGACGTTAAAGGTAAGGATGTCAAAGGAAGTAGGTGATGGTAAGATGAGTAAGGACTCAGTGTACTTCAAATCTAAAACAGGAACTGTGACGAACCACGAGGACATTGAGAAGACGGCTTCCTTTAATCAACAGACAAAACTTAATAGAATTGAATCGTTTCAGAACCTTGGGAGTAACTGGGTGATAATGAACATCGAGAGCCACTACATTAATATCGCAATGTTCAAGCCATTAGCTGGTAGCTCATACATGGAACTCCCCAAGGATATATAAGCAACTCCAAGTGTGGATTTATCAATATGATAAACGACGACAACATGTGCTTCATGTGGTGCCATGTCAGACACCTTAGACCTAAAGCTAGAAGAGCAACAACTATAACCCAAAATGATAGGGACTTCGAGTTGAATCTAGACTACAGAGGTATTGAGTTCCCAGTGAAGATAAGTGATTTAGGAAAAATAGAAAAGAGGAATAACATATCAGTGAAAGGATACAGGGGTAAGAAACAGTTCTACCCCATAAGTATATGCAAGGGCGAACACGAAGATCACATGGAACTGCTACTACTAGGTGACGGTAATGGAAAGCTACACTATGTGTTGATAAAGGATATTAACAGATTACTATGTACTGTGAGTAAGACCAAGGCGAACGCCCACTATTGTCTACAATGCTTCCACAACTGTGTGAGTGAAGAAGCACTTGCTAAACATAAGGAGGTCTGTGTAAAAGTAAATGGGGTGCAAGCCACTAGACTCCCCAAGGCGTGGTCAAAGATAAAATTCAAAAATCGTAGGAACTGTCTCCCTGTCCCATTCGTAATCTACGCAGACTTCGAATCAATACTTGTTCCCAACGAGAACACTAAGAGTAACGCTGGTAGTGATGAGAGTTACACGGAAAAGTATCAGACTCATCAAGCGTGTAGCTTCGGGCTGAAGACAGTGTGTCATTACAACGACAGCTACTCAAGAGAATACGTAAATTACGTAGGGAAGGACGCCGCCTATTTATTCCTTAAGACTGTCATCAAGGAAGCCGTAAGATGTAGGAGTAATGTTAACAACCTGTTTAAGAAGAAGATGATCATCTCACCTGAACAAGAACAGGAATTCATGAATGCCGCAGACTGTTCCCTATGTGGGGAGCTCCTTGGGGAAGACAGAGTACGGGACCACTGTCATATCACAGGGTATTAAACAGGGGCGGCTCACAACATATGCAATTTAAAATACAGTATATCATGGAAAGTCCCTGTGGTCTTCCACAACTTGAGAGGATACGATAGCCATTATCATGCAAGAGATAGGCAAGTTCGGAACGGAAGTAAATGTGATACCAAATAATATGGAAAAATACATATCATTCTCCCTTGGTAAATATCTGGCTTTCATAGACTCTATCCAATTCATGTCCTCTTCTCTAGAGGAACTCGTTGGCAATCTGTCATCTGAGGACTTCAGGATAGTAGGAAAGCGCTGGCAAGGAGAGGACTTTAAGCTGGTTACTCAAAAGGGTCTCTTCCCCTATGAGATCATGGATGGTATGGATAAGCTACAGTCAGAGGGGCTTCCAAGTAAGGACGAGTTCTACTCCACATTGTATGAGTCTGATGTAAGCAATGAAGATTACCAAAGAGCACAGAGAGTATGGAGTCACTTCAACATGAAAACAACGAGGAACTACCATGACCTCTACCTGGAGACTGACGTTCTTCTGTTAGCAGACGTATTTGAAAACTTTAGGAGAACCTGTATGGAAAGCTACGAGTTAGACCCAGCACATTACGTGTCAGCATCCGGCCTAAGTTGGGACGCCTTCCTGAAAAGGTCAGGTAAGGAAATTGAATTGGTAAGTGATATGGATCTGTTCCAGTTCTTCGAGAGAGGTACTGTATGAGAGGTGGTACAAGCTCTATAGGTCACAGGCACTCAGCTGCTAACAATAAGTATATGGAGGAGTACAACGAAGATGAGGAGAGTAAGTTCCTTATGTATTAGATGCTAACAACTTATATGGATGGGCAATGTCACATCCACTACCTAGTGGTGAGTTTGAGTGGGTAAAGGACACTAATAGTACTAACCTTGATGATTACATTAATGATGAGAGTAGGGGTATGGTTCTAGAGGTGGACATGGACACCCAAGTAAACTGTATGACCTACACAATGGATATCCACTAGCCCCCGAGAGTATGAAAATAAAACCTGAAATGTTGTCGGGTTATGCGAGTAACATAGCTGAGAAGTTCAAGCTTTCAGTGGGTGAGGTACACAAGCTGGTAACATCGTTAGGACCTAGGAAGAACACGCTGTACATGTCCGCATTCTGAAGCTTCACACTGTCCTACAATCGCCCACAAAATATTTGAGACAAACCCCCTCCCACGATTTCAATGTTGTTAGGCACTACAATATAGTTTAATTCCAACATCATATGTTAAATTTCAACTGCCAGTGACACAGTTGAAATGCTAGTGTCACCTTATGTTCGTTTTCGACAAGTAGAGTAGGTTTCAACATTGAAATAAGGGTGGAGGGGATTGATTTAAAAAGTCTCAATATATTTTGTGGACGATTGTCTTAAAAATTTATAAGACTTAGTTAATAGCATCTCGAAGTTTTTTTGAAATCACTTTGTGT